AAAAAATTTATAATTTTGGTAATTTTGAATTAAAATTTTAATGCAAAGACATTTTAGGTATTTTCTCTCATCTCTCCTCTCTTCTCTCTCCGTCATCCGTCCTTCGGTGATACCACTGTGATACCTAAAAATATTGACTCTGTTAAACAAAAGATACATTGTGATACCCAATCATATATAAGATGCATTGTGATATCATTGTGTTATATCTCCAATCGACCACACAAACGACCTCAATGTGATACCCAAGCACATATATAATACATTGTGATACCATTGTGGTATCACCGAAGGACGGTGGCCAGAGAGAGGAGAGTTCTAAAATACCAAAAATATTCTTGCATTAAAATTTTAATTCAAAATTACCAAAATTATAAATTTTATAATTTATCTATCGATTTGTGGTTAAGATCATTAATTCATAAATTTGATCATTAATTCATAAATTTGATCAGTGAACATAAATTGGTCTTACGGGTCTCACGAAAAACCTTTGGTCTTACGTGAACTCAACCCTATATATATATAACAAATATTTAATTATCATATAAATTAATCTCAACCGTTAATTTGGTATAAAACTTGATTTCACATATTGGTTCCTTATCTAAAATATCTCACTTGATTTGTAATATTGATGGTAGGGGTGCTTATGTTGGGTTGATTGGGTTGGAGATATTTAAGCAACCAAACTCGACGTTTGCGATTTGAAAAATCTTAAACCAAAGCAAACCAAAATGCAAGTCAACCCAATTCGAACTGTACGAGTTGGTCAGGTTAGTCGGACTTGATACATTAAAATATTTTTCTAACTTCGAATATATTATTTCTTTACTCATAATTTCTTTTTCATTATCAATCATTTGATATAACTTATTCATACTTCTTACAAATATCACATTCAGTTAATTTTTTCAATTTACATATATGTGTTCACAGTTACTGAACATATATATGAATGATTTATTTTGTATTTCTCAATTGGAACTTACAATGGATTTTCTAAATTAAGGTTCTACTAGATCTCGTCATTCTTCATGAGACTACTAAACACACTGTAAAAATTTGAATACACACACTGTAATAAACTTGATGTGTTTTTCATAATACATATTCTTCACGTGAAAGTCGGGTTTTTCATGTGAAGATTCAAAGTTATATCGTCGATGTTGTTTTTACAGTGACGGTCCACGAAGAAAAAAAAAACTCATTCAAAGACTCAGAGTATGACGACAAGGACAAAAATACCAACCCAACCATTAAAGGGTATTAATGTACATTTACAAAGTAATTATTTATTTTAAATCATAATAAATATTTGATTAATGTAAAGTAATTATTTTTGTTTGGTTCATAATGAGAAATGAAAATGAATAAATTTCCATTCACTCCAATTTAACCAAAAATGTAATTTTGAACTTCTGGAAGAATGAACTCATTTTATTATAAAAAACCAAACAGTTTCTTTATTTTCATTCTTATTAATTACTGTTTAATACCCTGTTACAATATTTTTAAAATGTTCTTCTAAAAATCTAGTTGTTTTGCCCCTAAATTAAATCAGAGTATATTACAATTTTAGTCCATGTGATTTGTTAATAATTTCAATTTTGGTCTCTATGGTTTAGAAATTGCCATTTTTCATCTCTGTAGTATAGAAATTGTCATTTTTGTCCTTGAACTAATTCTTAACTTTTACAAGGGACCAAAACAGTAAAAATTGTAAACAAAAAGGACCGAAACTACAATAAGTTGTAAAGAAGAAGAACAAAAATAGCAACGAATTACAAACTCCAGAGACATCTAACCACTATCTCCTCCTTTCTTGTTCCTCCAATCAAATTTCGACATGTGTAAATTTTAAAAACGGAGATCACCAATACCCGATGACAAGAAGTTTACTACAGAAAAATTATGGCCTTTGACTTTATATCGAAAGCACAGGTGAAAATTGTTCAAGATCCAATCCCTCTACATAACAGTTTCGAATCCGTACGAAGCATATATAGAACGAAAAGTAAAAAAAAAAACTCTAATAACTCAAATCAGTGGAGAGAATCGGATCTAAAATAGCATCTATCACCTAATAATTCGATTCGTTGTACAGTTCGCAAATTCTCATCATGTATGCAAAGAATGATATGCCTGCAGAAAGGCGGAAAAAGGGTTACCGTTGCCTTCAATAATCGCCCATGCCAGAACCCATGGATGGTGTTTCCTTCTCGTCTTTGGGAAGTTCAACGATCACAGCCTCCGTTGTGGTCAATAAAGACGACACGCTTCAAATACCACGGAGATAAAGTCAATTTCCGCATTGGAAAAATAAAGTACAATTTTATCTATATTTTAGTTTAGAATAAGGGGCAGTTTGGTTGGTTTTCCATTAATTGTGTATGGATAAAGTTGTCAGTGTGGATTAAATCCCAATTTGTATAGAATGAGGTCTTTGTTTGGAGGGTTTTTTAATAGATGGAACTACGGAAGAATCGTGTTCTTTAACTAGGAGGGGTAGGTTTGGAAAGAACCTGGCTTTCTACATAAAACTCCCCACATAAGCTTATTGAACAAGTCACTATCTATATCATTAAGCCACCACCATACAGACATGTATAGATGACCGAATAAGTAGCTAGCCCCATTAAGTTCATTAAGCTGCTAATAAACGGGCTCTAAGTGTCTACTTTCCGATTTTACCCTTAATTATGAGATGGGAAAATTCAGTGCTTCCTCCATCAAGAGTAAAATTGTCATTAACTAAATAAAAAAAATGTAATATATTTATCTTTTTCATTGTGAACATTTATTTTGGTAAAGAGGGAGTAACCGATGGTACATTTATCATTTAATTGATTAGAAAGTGTAGTAATTACCCGTTTCTAAAATGTGTACGTTTTTTTTACTGTGTGGCCATTATTTTGGGACGGAGATACAAAGAGAGCAAAAACCGTAGCGGAATATAAATTTACCTTGCAGCATCCACCAACGCAGTCCTAATCACTTTCAGGGGGTCAATGATTCCTTCCTTGACCATGTCTACGTATTGACCTGGTTGCAAGATAATACAAGTACTCGTCAAGATGATGATGTGAAAAAAGGTCGGATGTTGAGCATGAATCCGTAGATGGGTGAAAATGGAATCAAGGTTAACCTTTTAGGGTGCATTTGATATACACAACAGAACAGAACAAAAACTTGTTGTGGCACGTATCGTGGGACAATTAGAATGGGACCGGATAGGACAGAGTAGGCCAAAATGCATTCTCTGTCCCACCAAAATAGGTGGAACAAAAACTATGGGAGACAGAACAAGCTTGGTAAATTACTAAACTCAAAGCCCCTAAACCTTCCCACATTTCTTTCACCCGCCTACCTCAGTATCGTCAGTCCAATATACTAACAGTTCCATCCGCATACCAAACGCACCCTTAGATAGAGAGTCAAGGCACAAGAGATCCAAAATCCATATGGAATACTTTCTTTGCTCTTATTTCTCAGCTGTGATTCTCCAAGTTCATTCACTTAATCATTTCATGTACAACCGAGTTAATATTTTTGGTGGGGGGTTGAGATATGTATATGCATGTGTGTGTGTATATATATATACAGAGAGAGAGAGAGAAAGAGAGAGGAGGACCTTTAGCAGCATCGTATCCAAGATCAGGGTTATCTTGCTCTAATAGTTTCCCAACAACGACCGCACCCTCAACTCCAGCATTGCAAGCAATTGTGTGCACCGGTGACTTTAGATACAGAACCAATATAGAATCCAATGTCAACAAATGATGGCTACACACGGTGCTTATTGGCGTGCGATACAAGGATATAAAAGAACTGATATAATCTTCCAAGTGATACAAAAAGACAACAAAAAAAGGAATTCATACAGTGAAGTCAATTTGACCAAGAGAAAGGGAGTATATACCTTGAGAGCATTTTGAATAATTTGAACACCAATCTTCTGATCAAAATTGGCGGTAGGAAGATTTTCCAGCTCCTTGGAAGCATATAGAAGAGCAACACCACCACCTGCATAAATGTGAAGTTACAAAATTAGAAAGAAAAACAAATAAGTACTGAATGATTGGATAAGAACAGTGTTCTTAAAGGTTCGCCACGACAGCCACCATGGTGCAAGGTTCATGTCTCACACCACGTTAAGCTTGTGGCACGCCATAGTCCAATGTGCGGTTTTTGTAACGCAATATTTAAATTTTCTTACCTTTTTGTGTCTTACTTTTTAGGTTTTTAGTATAACCTAATTTAAATTGTTTAATATCATTGACTTGTTGAGTAGTGGTAAAAAACATGTGTGCATATATATATATATATATATATATATATATATATATATATATGAAACACAGATATGCCTCTATAAGTCACGCCTTGAAAAACGCCGTGGCCTCGCCGTGGCTCCCAAGGGTTGGGGCTTGACCACACCTCGCCATTTAGAACCTTGCATAATAAACACAGATGCGGGAATAGCTTATAGAAGATATATATATACCTGGTACAATTCCTTCCTCAACTGCAGCCTTTGTAGCATTTAAAGCATCAGTAACTCTATCCTTCTTCTCACCAACCTCAGCTTCACTGGCTCCTCCAATCTGACCAATGCAGAAATCGGTTAATGATTTATTAGTAGTGTACCAACGCAATGCAACATGATGCAAGATTTTATTAACCAAATAAAAAATTAACGCAATTCTTCATCAAAGAGAAAAAATCCAAAATCAATGTTTAAACAAAATAGAAATTACTGATCAAAACAAGAATTAAACCTTCAAAACAGCAACACCACCAGAAAGCTTTGCTAATCTCTCTTGGAGCTTCTCTTTATCATAATCAGAAGTGCTTAATTCAATTGATGATCTCAACTGCAACAACAGAACACGTCAGGCACGTGATAAACAAATAGATTAAGGTCCAAAAAGCAGCTATTTGGAGCCGATTGGAAGCAAACCTGTTCACATCTTTCTTCAATGGATTTCTTGTCACCAGCCCCATCAAGAATAACTGTATCATCCTTTGATATTGTAACCTAAGCATATAACATATACACACACGTATATATATGTTCCAAAATTAGCATATATTGCATACTCCATTTGTCAGTAAGAAAAAACAGAGGTAGGAAAGCCAGAGTTTACCCTTTTGCAAGTCCCTAGCATTTCTGGTGCCATTTTCTCAAGGTTCATGCCAAGCTCATCGGTTATGACCTATAAGAAGTTTTTGAACAAGTATCAAGAATCAGAATACAGAAAATAGCGCTGTTAAAAGTAACAGAAGACATGAGAATCAAGATCAGAAACGAAAGAACCACCTCTCCTCCAGTGAGAGTTGCAAGGTCTTGCAAATTTGACTTTCGGTTCTCTCCAAATCCAGGGGCTTTTATGGCACAGACCTACAGAAACAATATGTCCTATTAGATTGAGGACATCATATTAGCAAAGAAATAGTCATTTGCGGTGTTCTCAAAACCTATTTTATGAAGGAAAAGAAAGGAAAGAGAGGGAAAGTAAAAAAATTCATGTGCTCGAAACTTTTTTAGGAGAAAAAGGAAAGGAAATGGAAAGAAATTAATCATAAGTTTCCTTCCAAATATGGGAGGAAAGGAAAGGGACGAAATTAAAACCCTTTAAAAAGATTATTAAAATTACAAAACTACCCAACTTTTCAAAATAAAGGATATATTTTTAAAAAGGTATATTTGTAAAAATGACATCATTCCTCTCCTTCCTATTCAAGAACATGAAAATTTCTTTTCTTTCTTGTCTTTTCCTTCCCTTCCGAGAACACAAATAAAAAACATTGTTTTCCATTCCTTCCTTTTCCCTCCCTTTCTTTTCCATCCCTTCTTTTCTTTTCCCTTTTTTTCTCGCCAAATTCGAGAACACAACATTAATGAAGTAATTGTTTAGATGATCCCCATCGCAAAATCAAAACAAAAAAAGGATAACAGATGATACCTTAATACCAGCACGGAGTTTGTTAAGGATGAGAGTGGCTAATGCCTCACTTTCAATATCTTCGGCAACAATCAGCAGTGATCTTTGATTCTGAAATGCATAAAAGTAGTAAACATGTAGTCCAGAAAGCACAAACAAGTATATATTATCGGCTATTGCTTAGTTCATTACCTTCAAAGCTAACTCTAGAACTTTAACTATAGCATTCAAGCTAGAGATTTTTTTCTCGTGTATTAAGATCAATGGATCATCTAATTCCTGTGGATAAGGAGAGATTGTCAGAAAATGTTGTTACACCCAACAGCAAATTATACAGAAGAAGACATAACAAAACCTACAGGCATTAATAATACAACCAAAAATCCAATTGACAACTCATTGGGCACCCAAGAGGGAATCCATAAATAATTACTGAAGAGAGAGTTTTAGTGCTTACACATTTTTGGTTCTTTGGGTTGGTGATGAAGTAAGGTGATATATACCCTCTGTCCAGCTTCATTCCCTCAACCACTTCCAATTCATTGTAGAGTGTTTTTCCATCCTGCAGTAGTTCCACATTACATTCATAACCATCACAGATAATTAAAACTATGATTCATGCTTAATATTCAAACCTCGCGGCCGGACTCCAAAAGAGTTCAAAGAATTAGATTTTACAAATTACCAAGTGAAGTAACATGAGAATAAATTCAATTCAATCCCTCTCACTTTTGTGAAGTACAAAATACTACAAGATGATAAAGATCATCCAATAAAAACCAGAAAATAGTACAAATCCTTAAGATAATACAAATAAGTCTATTAATCAAAGGAAACTAGAATATAAAGGAGACAAACAACTCAAACGATTGAAGCTTTAAGAAGTTTATACAGGTAGATATCTAAAACCTTCATAAGAACAATCATTGTGAAGTTGCAATATACAACAGGAAGAACTTTATGAAGCACTTACACTTATGGTAATAACACCCTCTTTGCCAACTTTCTCCATAGCCTTGGCAATAAGCTCGCCAATCTCTCGTTCTCCATTTGCAGAGATTGTCCCAACCTTTTATTACATCATACCAAAGAGTCATCATGTAATAGTTAGTAGGCACGTGTTGTATGTTCAGAGCAATATAACACCAATTAAATGCAAGAAACCAAACAAACCTGTGCTATTTCTTCGGATGTACTGATCATCCTGGCTCTGCTTTTCAAGTTTGTGACGACTGAATCAACAGCCATGGTGATCCCACGTCTAAGATCCATGGCATTCATTCCAGCCGCAACTGACTTGCAGCCTTCAGAATAAATTGCACGGGTGAGAACTGTTGCGCAGGTGGTACCTGAAATGTTATGACACCAAAGCTTATGATCATTGGAAAATAATCCCATTCTACTCGAAGATCTTGTTGGGTATTTAGGAAAATAATATCAACTAAACTTTAACTTTAATTATTAATTAAAAATAAACTCACCGTCACCAGCTACATCGTTGGTTGCATTAGCAACCTGCTTGACAAGACTAGCACCAACATTCTTCACCCTGTCCTTAAACTCGATACTCTTTGCAACAGTGACACCATCCTTTGTCACCTTTGGAGCTCCATAACTTTGTTCTATAACAACATTTCGTCCCTTTAAAAGATCAACAATCAAAATCAGCTGAGTTTGTAACAGAACTATATTAAGTATAAAATTGCTGCCATCTTCATTCCGAGTTTGTGACACAGAATGAAGATCAGATTATGCAACTAGAAATCTGCAACAAATCACCAAAGGGAAAAAGGGAAGCTACACGTACACGATATTCTTCCATCATAGCATATGAAACAATATAATAGCATGGCTACAATAGGCAGTTTTGCCGATGTTCAACACAACATTGATAACATCACATGATTTCAAATAAAAAGATGGAAAAGCAGCTGATGTTTATACCACCAAATAAGACTCTATCAAGTATTTTACCATGTCGTCATTTACACAAGAATATGCAAAAGAACTCAAGTCTTAAAGCCACAGTGAGGCCATGATGGGTCTTAAAAGTATCACTTATGGCCAGCATATGTGTGTGTGTACATATATATAGAGAGAGAGTGCCGTTCAAACAAGAAAAGTGCCCAAATAAGAGAATCGCGAATCATATGTAAGATCACATGGGATTCACGAAATTCCCCAGCTAACTCTTACGTTATCTTGTTCCATAATCGCAGGCCATTTTCATGTTCTCTTATTTTGACATGTCAAAAGTTTGATCCTCCCTAATATAGTTATATATAGACATGCTCCCTCTACTATGATAGTAAACAATTTAAATTAGGTTATATACAAAAGAAAAAACAAAGACCATAAAAATACAAATAGAGATACAATCACGGCAATCAGGAAAAATAAATTCGAAAGAACCTTGGGACCCATTGTGACTTTGACGGCATCAGCAAGCTCTTCAACACCCCTAAGCATCAAAGCTCTCGCATCCACTCCAAATTTGATGTCTTTCGCGGCGTAGTTCCGCCTCCAGCTTAAATTAGAGCTGATCTGAATCGCAACACGAAAGAATTTTCAATACACAATGCCACAAGCACATCGATGAATTACATATATATATATATATATATGTATACACACACACACAATAATATACACAGTATACCTGCTGAGCATTGTTTCTGGCAATCCTGAATATCAAAAACACAAAGTTCAACCAATGGTTAGTTTGTTGACAATGAACATACTTGCTAGATTAAAATGTTAATTAAAAAAAAAACTGACCTTGATTTGGATGCGAGATTGGCTGCAAGACGATACATGACGAAGACGGCGGCGGCGGTGGTGGTGGTGGTTGTTGTGGTGGTGGAGCAGATAGACTCAGATGAGAAAAGGCAGAGTGAAATGGATGAAGCCTAGAGAGGAGAGAGAGTAAAATAGTAAGGAAAGAGAAGGATCCAGAAGAAATTTCACGTAAGTTTTAGGGTTTAGGGTTCTTGGGAGCCCGAAGACTCGAATTAGACGGCGGCTATCTTCGCTTCTCGGGTTGGCTTCAGGATTCGACCCGTTAAGACTATTGGGCCTGGCCCACTAAAAACTCTTTTCTTTCGACCCGTAGAATATTAAACCGAGAGGGTACTTGGTCAATACTTTTGAGTGAACTACAAATTTCGCCCCTACGGTTTGTCAAAAATAACACTTTTTCCCCTGAAGTTTTAAGAAATTACAAAATTATCATTATGGTCGTTGATCCCTTTCTTTAAAACCGTTGAAAAGTATTCGTTAAATGAGATGTATTTTCGTCTTTTTATTTGTCTTTTTGTCATTCACCCTATCAAAAACCGTAGAGACCAAATCACAAAATCGATTTCAATTTAAACGGAAAAAAATCAATAAAAATATGTCAAGAATTAAAGTAAGACGTTTTTGCAAACCACGATAGCCATCTTATATATTCAAAACTGCATGGAATGAAACGTTTTAATTTTGACAAACCACAAGGACCAAATTTGTAGTTTACTCAATACTTTTTGGGACATTTCGATACTTGAAATTCAAATCTACATTTGTTATTAGAAGGGTACTCGCTAACAAGATATATTTTTATTTTAATGTTTCATTTTATCTGTCTCTGTATATGTTATAATACAGTTTATGTGATTTTGAGAAAAATATAATGTTTTATTTTTGAATAAAATATAAATTTGAAGATATCATAAAATTTTGAAAATAAATATATTAGTATCAAATTAACTATTTCAAAAAAAAAAATATGTATTGTAATTAATTTTAA